GGGAGTCCTCCTACATTATGAGCAGTAGCCTCTCTAACTCCCATTTTGCTACAGAAGGAGTTTATTGAGGCCTTTGAGTCTTTTATACACCCAACGGGGCAGAATGGAAATTTCAACAATATGGCTAGAACTGGAAAACATCATGTTAAATGAAGTAAGCCTAACACAGAAGAAAAATCTCACATGATCTCACTGATATGTGGAAGCAACATATTAAAATAATAATTGATCTCATAAAGACAGAGAAGAGAATGCTGGTTACCAGAGGCAGGGAAATATAGTAGGGAGCAGGGGATAAAGTGGAAGTGGTTCATGGGTAAAAAAATGCAGGTCAACAGACAGATAGAAAGAACAATGTTTATTAGCACATTAAATGGACTATAATCAACAAAAAGTTAGGGTACGCTTTAAAATAATGAGCATAAGTGAAATGTCCCTAACACAAAGAAATGATAAATGTCTGAGGTGATAAATAAATACCACAATTACCCCATCTCAATTAATTCCCTTTGTTCGCCTGAATCCTAACATCACATGTAACTTATAAATATATACAAGTATTATGTACCCACAATCATTAGAAATAATAAATAACAATAAAGACATTTAAATACAACATGAAAAGAACAATAATAACAGCTTTTACTTTGAAAATTCGATTGATGATACTATTGAAACTCAAATGCCTGGAAGATCAAGCAAAAGAAAAATCCCAAAAACAGAACTACTGCTAGAATATACAGGTTTGTATATTCACATGCAAAAGGGTAAAACTAGACCTTTACCTCTCACTGTATACAAAGTCAACTCAAAATAGTTTAAAGACTTAAATGTAAGACCTGAAACTATGAAACTACTAGGATGAAATATAGGAGAAATGCTTCAGGACGTGGGTCTATGGAAGGATTGTTTGGCTAAGAACTCAAAGGCACAGGCAATAAAAGCAAAAACAGATAAATGGGATTACATCAAACCACAAACTTCTGCACATCAAAGGAAACAATCAACAAAGGAAAAAGACAATCTACAGAAGAGAGAAAACGTGCATTTGACAAGGGGTTAATATCTAGAATATATAAAGACTCAAAGAACTCAATAACCAAAAAATGAATAGTTCAATTAAAAACTGTGCAAAAGAATTAGAATAGCTATTTCTCAAAAGAAGACATACAAATGGCCAATTTGTACATTTTTTAAAAATTCTCACTAAGGAGTACTCAGCTAGCTATATCCCGATTTTAAAAAAAATATCCTTAACTACAAAGATAAATAGAAAAAAAAGTGTCTGGACAGAGGGAAGTAATATTAAAAAAAAAGTCAGACTGATATTAGACTTACCATTTCTAATACCGAAACTAGAGGTAATAAACTAACCAGCAAACTACTGAGAAAAAGGAAGTATGAGCCTCAAATCCAGCCAAGACTTAAATCACCTGCGAGGTGATATACAACCCAGAACTCTTTCTGAATAATATTTTCAAGAAAGCACTAATGGACTACAAGCAAACATCTAAAGAACCAGAGCAGAAGCCTTGAGAGAGGGAGAAATGTTGAAACGAAACAGAGGTGATAATACATACTGAAACACACATAAATAAATCTGAATGGACTATGCCAGATTGATTATCAATGTATAGTTTAAATGCTATATAAGGAATCAAAATAGAAAAGACATACTACAAGAAAAATCTAATCATAATCTGGAACTCAAATTATTATTTCAGAAAAATTGAGGACAGAATGGATATAGGAGCAAAATTCAAATAGGGCAGGAAAGGGGGGGGAGAAATAAAATAATAGAAGGGTACGTAGAAAACATGGCCTATGACAGCACAGAGAAATCCTTATGTGAAAATAATTGCAATAAATGAAAATAGATCAAACTCTAGAAACAGGTCTGGCAAACTATGGCCTAAAATTCAATCTGAAAATAAAATCGTATAGGGGCGATGCCTGTTTACATGTTGTCTGTGTTTTTACCCTATAATGGCAGAGTTCAGTGGGCAGGAAAGGTACCATATGGCCCGCAAAACTGAAAATATTTACTCTCTGGCCTTGTAGAGATATACCTTGCAACATCTATTCTACATTCATTCAAAGAGATTCCATGACTGAATTATTTTAAAAAACACATATCCAGCAAGACACTGCCCAGAGCAAACGCATGTGGAAAGGAAGAATAGGGTGAATGAAAATAAATAAAAATACAGGAAAAGGTAAACTGAGCTAATTCAAACCAAAAGAAAGCAGAGAACAAACTTTTCATTTGAAGGAAAGAACAACATTATATGCAGCAAATGATCAAGAGATCAAGGAAAATAAATAATGGCCGTGAGCACGTACACTGATCAATACAGCTTTGAAGCAACGCAGTTGACAGAACTGTGAAGTGAAATAAGTACGAAGACAAATGTATTTGGAGATTTTAAAGCACAACTCTCAGGCACTGGGAGTTCAAGAAGGTAAAATCTAAACTGCTGTAGGCAACTGTGTATTTGTTTATATTTAAAATTAACATTTAGCAAACAAAAAATATACTTATTTTCAAGCATGCAAAGGATAGTCTCATTAACTATATTAGGCTATTTCATAGTATGTCTCAAATGCCTTAAATTATACAAATTCCTTTTTCCCACCAACTTCTCTCCTAGGCATTTGCCTTAAAACATAATAAGATTTGCACACAAGGCGGCGCTGGTAACTCAGTGGATAGGGCGCCGGCCGCATACACCCAGGTTGGCGGGTTCAAACCCAGCTCAGGCCAGCTAAAGCAACACTGACAACTGAAACAACAAAATAGCCAGGTGTTGTGGCAGACGCCTGTAGTCCCAGCTCTTTGGGAGGCTGAGGCAGGAGAATCGCTTAAACCCAAGCGTTTAATGTTGTTTAGTTATACCGCGACACTCTACCCAGGGCGACAACTTGAGATCGTCTAAAGAAAAAAAAAATTTGCGCACAAATGTATTTTAACAGAATGTAGAAATATATTGGTAATATCCCACTGTCACACAACAGATCATTCATTGGTAAATGATGGTGCATACTATGTGGTTGGCCATAGTCAGTAATGTCCTTTATTAGATATGAATAGAAAAGAATTACTAGTCCCAATATTGGGATAGACAAAGGGAGTTTGTTTAATCTGATGCACGTTTCCAGATGAAGGGAAATACCATGACTGTGAATAAATATGAAATGGTAATTATTTTAGACCTGGACTTATTCAGTCAAGACTTTCTAATGATACTTTTTGAGTAGCAAAATTATTCCCTCTTAAGATCATATTCTACATATAATGCTTTAGGGCACTTCTGTGACTTCATTAGCAGAGGTTATGATAAAAACTAGAAACTATGTTTTCTCAGGACGCTATGGGTCTAACAAGAAAAAGAAAGAAAGAAAAGAAAAGAGAAGGGAAATTAAGAAGCTAGCTTACCCCTGATATGTGCTATACCTATCTGGTCCTCTTAATCATGTTTTTAGCCAATAAAGCTTATGCATAGAGGTGATAGGCATTCAGAAATTGCATTTTCAGCATTCTTCAAACTTGTTATGATCTTATTTGACCAGAACTTAAGGCATAATTACATGGAAAACGATGAAGCCATTAGGAATGATGTTAGAGAAAACTTGAATTCTTATAGCAAAAGTTTATGAGATATTATATCAAAAAGTAATAACCAAACAGTATTGTATAATGAGATACTATTTAAATTATAGCTATTATTTAGACACATAAAAATAACTAGAAAAATGTACACTGGCTTGTTCACAGTTCTCTTCTCTAGAAATGGGGTCATATTTATTTTCCATCTTTTTAGTATTATATATTTGCTACAAGTAGAGCACTTAATATGTTTTACCTTGATAATCAGAAAAAATGGTGTTATTTCACAAATATAATTAAATTAAAATCAATTAATACCATAAAATTAATGTATTTCTTATGGTGATTCTTAATTAGCCCACTTTTTTCGATAACTAGTTGGAAAAATTCTCACTGAGTTTGATGGGAATTTTAAAGACCCTTGGGGGAGGGGAAGAATTGAGTCAATTTATATTTTTAATAATGGTGTCATGGACAATTTTTATTTTCTGATTATAGAAATAACTTGACTTTATCTAGGAATATAATTCATACAAATGAGTTTAAATGCATAAAATTAAAAATCTCATTTTAAACATATAAATAATTCAAAACAGTTCAAGACAGTTAATTTAAATCCTCAAAATTAAACCTCTTAATTTAAGTATAGGAAATATATTATTTCCATTAAAATGGTCTTTTCTTTGAAAATGCAACATAGTTCTTACAATAGGAAAAATAATGGACTGGTGACCTGGATCTGCTAAATATCTCAATATGAGTTGGATAAGTCAGATATCTCTGCATCCTGCATCTGAATAGAATTATAAACTTATATAGATAATTCTTCGATTTCTATCTCTTTTTGGGAACAAAGTCTCTTTGCGACTTCCATCCACAAAAAACAACAACAACAAAATAGAATTGACAATAAACCCTATCTCATTCTAGCAATTAGTAATAATCATCTATATTTACCAGAGTGAATGGGGGACAGGAACAATTCAGTACAGCTCATTAAGAAATGCATTTTTTAATAATTGTCAACATGTTGTGGTTAGTAATTATTTTCCAAAATATTTGAATATACTAGTTTCAATCAATTGTATGCTGCTATTAATTATAGTGCTAACTCAACTCAAAAGAAATTTAACACTTCTAGTCATTTAAATTTGAGAAAAAATATAATGTGTATGCCTAAATATATGTGGAATAACAATGATGATAACTTCAAGGCTAAGAACATCGGGTCCATTATTGTTAGAGTTTTGAAACTCTTCCTCAGCTGTCCCAGAAATTGCTGGTAGCATGGAGCCTAAAGTGACTGCATGGAGAAGCCTTTATGTGGAAAAGGACTGGGTAGATAAGGCCGGGCTGAACAGAGTAACATTAATAATGTTTTAAAGATACCAAAATGTCGCTGGCAAATGTGGCAACACATACTACCATGAATTGTAAGTGTTGGTAAGTCAGGTACCACAGAGTTCAGAGAAACAAACCTTTGAAGCCAAGTCCTTGATGCTGCTTCACAGACTCTATAAAAATGACAGCAGACTAAAGTTAGATGTCTTGATTTGCTACCTAAATTTACTCTTTGGTGGTAGCCTTGCCTTGTTCTTTGTACTTAATTCCTTATAACCTGGCCAGTGATACTGAAACAGTACAATACTAAGTCATCATTGTAGATCAGGTAGCTTAGATTTAGGCCTAAGTAGGCTGGATGCTATTACAATAACCACCATTATAAGGAAAATCTCTTTAAATAAAACATCAAAGTTCCAGCCAAAGATTACTTATTTTAAATAACTTACATAAAGGAATTATAACATCTATCAAATGCTGAGTGTGTGGTAGACACAAAATATACAGTCTAACTTCCCCTTCAAGGAAGTACTTGCTGCCCATCTACAGGGAGTGTGATTGGTACACAGGCTCCAGCTGTTAGTTCCTTCAGGGTCTGCCTCAGGTGACGAAAGTCACCTCACCCAAAATAACACCCACAGAGTCCTATATATGATGTCTGAACCATTCTGGGCCTAGTCTGATACCTTTGATGGGCACTACTATCTTAAGATCTAGAAAGGTTGGATAAGGCTTTGTTGAGCCCGCATCACACTTCAACCTCTTCCTCTGCCCAATCCTGTTTTTCCTTCTCCCTCTCATAGCTTTTGTTCCTCAAATAGATATCTTGCACTCCAATCACTCAGTCTCAAAGTCTGTTTTTTGAGATCCCAACCTCCAGGAAAGGATCAAGTGGTATGTATTATAAATGCATGCAAATACATTTATGGGTGTGTGCAATGTAAATATCAAATTCTGCTGATAAAATTTATGCAGACTAAATTCCCTTTGACTACAAAAGAACTACAAACCATACAGGCTGTTTTTCAAACTTTTCAAACCCATCAAGAAAGTGAGGAAAATCCTTAGAGGCCAAAAATAAGGAAAAAGTGTAGATCCTGCTCCAGATAGAGTCTGATAGGAAACTCACTAGAAACTCCCTAAATACTTAGGAAAGAATACCTTATTCAGCAAAGGAATTTAGAACTGGCTAATGTGCTTTGTAAAGACACCAGAGATAGGTAGGATAGTGCGGTAGATTATTCACCAAGCATTCCAGTCCTTCTTCTAAAGTGGTCTTCTCTTTAGTAGACATATCCCTGTTCTACTGAATTCAGGATAGGTCGTGTGACCTGCTTGAGCTAGTGAAATGTAAAAGTTACGTGCGTTTTTTCTGGTGAGAAGACTTAAGAGAGTGTTTCATTCTGTAACCATTTTCTCTACCACTATAATGGGCACTATTCCACCATAGAGGATGCTCTGTGACTCTTAAAAAAGAAATTTAATTTTAGTCAGAATCAACTGTAAATATTATCTCATTTAATCCGCAAATCGACCCTATATGGAAGATAATTCTTTCAGTTTATGCTTCTGTTGGCAAAAACAGAAACCAAATCTGGTAATACAAGCAGAAAAAAAAATTGTTAGATATGTAGTGTCAGATTGCTCTTATAAATCCATGAGAAGAGTGAAGAAGCATGTGAAAAATGTACAGAAATAGCTAAGAAAGAAAGAGCTCACCCAGAATCAAACAAGAGAAGATGTCTTCTCAGGATCTCACTGCAGGCAGTCAATACTGAACACTGTCTGCATATGACTGGACTGTAGCCTCCGCCACAAACTGAAAATAAGTGCTAATATTCTCTGTATCTATACTGTATCTTAGTATATACCACCTGAAGAGTCTAATCTCCTGGTCTAAGCATCCAGATGGCGAAGTTTATGTCTTACGTTTATGCCAACATGTTGACACTAGGAATATATATCCCTCATTTCCGGCTTCCCAGTGAAAGGTGGGGGCCTGACTCACATTTCTCTTTGGATTATTCCAATAAAGGATATTTAGATACTAAGAAGACAAAAGTCATAGATCTGATATTATTTCCAGAACACACTTGAAAAAAATTGAAGCATGGAGAATTTAAGTGACCAATTCAAACTCATGCCTTAAGGACTTGGACCAATCTGAATGCTTTCACCTGCAAATAACCAAAATTTCCAACTTAAGAAATAAAATAAGACATCTGTTATCTCACACAAAACGTGTTCCAAGTGAAAGGAAGGCCCCAGGGTTGGTTGGATCAACTTTTCAATGATGTTAATGTTTCACATAATTTTTTAGCCCTCCTAACCACAGTCTCACCTTCACATTAATGCTAGTGCCCATTATGTTTATAAGGTGGCTACAGGAGCAATCAGGGCTACATACTTCTTTGTTCCTTCTGTCAGATACATTCTATTATCCCCTTATCACTTCTTTCTTGATGTTTCAAATCATGGCACATGTTCATTTCTAGAGATTGCTACATGCTGATTAGTGTAAGCTTAGCTTCCAAAAATAATTTCTGGCTAGGGGCAAAGTATTATTATGATTGACTAGTATATCATCTACCCTGAAGCTGAAGATGTGAGTCATATGAGTTTCATATAGAAGTGTAAGTGCATGATGAAAATTAGGATTCCCTTAAGAAGAAAGTAAGGGAAATGGATACTCTGGGCAAGCAAAAGCTATGTTCTGCCTATTTACAATACATATTTTTGAAAGCAACCACACTTACATGAAATATCCTCAACTATCCCTAAAAAGAGGCTACCTAAAAGTCTCACCTGGATAATGGACTCAACTCCAAGTTCATGATCTCTAGGTGATGCATCAGTGATTCAGAGCTAAATGGTATGACACCTATCCCAAACCTGCTGATATTTTATAATGAAGCAGAAACACAATTGAAATAAAATTATTTTTAGAAAACAATAATGTGTTGATTTTTTTCCATATAATATGTCATATCTAGCTGGTAAGAAATAAAGAAGATGCCATATGCTAGAAGTGAAGCGAGTTCCCTGGTCAGCCAAACTGGCTGTCTCTTGTTGTTATTCTCTGGGGAAATTTCCCTCATTAATTTTCTTCGAAAGTCAAATCTAGGATGATCACTTTCCAAATTTTTCCTCATAGGGATTACAGTGACTTAGCAGCCCATTTGTTAATGGTACAGACCAAGGGATTAATGTTATTGGATAAGTTTTTGTTTCTTTGGCAGTACAACATACCACACTGATAAATTCACTAGGCTTTCAGCCTACTTACTTATAACAGCTAGGAACCCCAGCCAGAGAGCCTGTCAAACCAAAGTCTTTGAGATTACCACTTTCCTTGTTAGAGCTTTCAAAATACCAAATTCAGCTTAACTATTATTGGACATTCATGAAGATAGCAAAAAGAGCTAACATATTTCAACATCTACAATTTTTTCTACTAAATTCTATTTAGGAGCATGATGAGCTCCAAAGTACAACATATGGCAGTTTAACAAAATGCTTTTTAATCACACAACACATCATATGCCAACTATTTAGCACTCATTAATTCATTACATGGTACTCATTGAACACATAGAGCCTAAATAAGCTATTTGTGCAGTAGTGTTGTGCAACAACAATATCACAAAGGTTTACAAAAATGCTTATTATTTTGTCACCCAAAGGTTTGCAAAGTTAGCTAGCACAGCATCAATTCATGCTGAAGACTGAGTTTAGGTGTGCTTCCCAGAGTGTATTAAGCTGGGTATTAAGCTGAACAGGTAGCAACTAGTGGGGACACAATCTTCTCAAGGCAATAACAATAGACAACTTTGAAAGTGCACTTCCATTTTCTCATATGACATCCACAAATGCTTCATTTATGGAAGAAAAAAAATAGCTATGCTTAAAGCAGAGGAGTAGATAAGTATAATCCTCTCCAGAGACACAGAATCAGTAGGAAACTTGATATGAGATAGGACAATTAAGTTCACAAACTTGTCATGATGTGTTTATGTTGGCTGCACTGTACAAAAAACTCAGTAATATTTCATAACCCTGGTATATCAATGCCTCACAGTGGTGTTCATATTGACATGTGGCAGTGTCTTGATGAGTTTAGGTCACTATTGGTGTTGAGTGGCTTTGTGTGTCATGCAATAGCTCTGATAGTCATTCCAGAAAAAGAGTTCCTAAGTTTCTTTGAAGGGTGGACTAGGCACTTTCATCAGTACATAATTTCCAAAAAGGAGTACTTCAAAGGTGATCATAGTAATATTCAGCAATGAAGTATGTAGCGCTTTTTCTAGGATCGGTTCATAAACTTAATTGTCCAGTCTCAGGTGTATATATACTATGTTCATGAACTGACTAAAGGGGCTATGAAGGCTAAGAAGTCTTACAATCTATCTGCCTTGTACAAATGGAAACGTGGGATAGCTGATGATATAGTTCCTGTCTGAGGCCTGTGAACCAAGAGCATCAATAGTGTAACTTTGGGTCTAAGGGCACAAAAGGACCAATGTCACCTAAAGCGATCAGGACCCCAGGGGGAATTAGATGATGCTCATCCACATTAGGGAGAACAATCTGCTTAACCCAGTCTATCAATTAAAATAATAATTTCATATGGAAACACTATCACAGTCATACCCAGAAATGTTGAACACATTATTGGTGTACATACTGATCCAGTCAAGTTAACACACAAAATTAGCCATCACATCATTCATCCACCATAAGACCATGGCAAGAACATGCATGTATAATGCTACAATAGATGACTGAATAATTAAGACCAGAAATTTAATTTTACACATCTGCTACATGTGAAGTATTGTTACAAGCACTGAGGCTATAGCAGTGCTCCAAGTAGACAAAAATCATTGCACTTATGGGTTTTAAATAGTAGTTTGGATAGCATGAGAACGATGAGGACAAGATCAAGTGTATTTACAAAATGTTACACAATGTTAAAAATGTCAATAATAGAATTGTAATGGTGAGTAGAAAGGTGTTCACTCTAAATTCCCTTCAATTTTTTCTGTATATCTGAAGATTTTTGGAGTGAAGTGTTAAGGAAAGTAAAGTAGGT